AACAGAGGAAACTGGTATATATGAACCAGATCAAAAAATAACGCCTCCTTCCATATGTATTCCATTTAAAATTAAGGAGGGCTTCGCTAATCAGAGATTTGTATAGGTCGATATTGTTGTAAGACATTGCAAAGGGACTTGGAGCCGGGTAAATAAAATCCACAAAAAAGTTATATGAATAAGGGTAGGTAACAAATTTAGGTAAAGGGATCATTAATCGAATCGTTAAATTAGGTTCGGACTTGAAAAAGGATATTGGTATTTTTCTAATAAAATCACGAATTCTCTTGCGAAAGCTTGAAAACCAGGACCAAAGAGCATCAAGAGTAGGCTTTTTTTCCAAAATTTGGGTGTAGATTCCGTGATGATGGAGATGCGACGAAGTGGAATAATTGTCGATCAATTTTAAGTCTTCATTATGAAAAGGGACGACGTAGGCTATATTAAATAAAAAATCTGAGGCATAGGTCGTATAATTTTGCGATAATTCTGGAAATGACGAAGTGACAATATTCAAGAAGTGTGTATCTTTTATATTTCCATCTTCAATGCTTAGGTCGACACATTTTTTAATCAGATTGTCAATCGTTCTATCGTCTTTTTGCTCCACAAGCTCTTTGATCCAGGACGCTCCATAGTACGCAAGAAACATTTTTTCACCCTTATAATAATCTTTCCATTCATGCAGACACTCTTGATAAAGAAGATGATAAGCTTTTTCAAATACCAAATCAAAATTCATTGTCGGAAGTGATTTCTTACAGTTGTGTAAAAAGCAATCTAACATCTTGATTATATTTTGTGGCTCAAAATTTTCGCGTCTTGCTTCATTATTCCAAAAATAATGTAATTGAATCCTTTTCTCAGACTTAGTCGTTTCTACAACCGTCCATATATAAATTCCGCCAAGCGTTATTATGGCAAAATTTTCATTCTCAACTAGACCGCAGCTTATAATAAATTTATCCTTGTATTCTTTTAGTCCGTCATCCGAATCAAAAAAATCCAAAGAAAAGATTTTTTTTGATTCAATTCTTTTCCATTTTTTTTGTTCTAATTTCGAATTCGTGTGCTACCAATTTGAGATAATCGCCATCGTAATCTATGTCGACTCTTAAGTCCCATTCTAGTAAAGCCCCCTTGATTTTTATGGCGGGAATGGCCTCCCTACTGGTATAATCTACACGTTCTTCAATCATTCTTCCCGATTTTACTGTTTCTTGAATGATTTCTTTGGCCCGTTTAACTTCCTCTTTGACTCGTGTAGCTTCGTATGGAGAGCCGAAAGTATCGCAATCTCCTAATTTATCTCTTAAATGTTTAATCCAATTACTTTCTATTAAGGGCCGAATACATAGTGGCGAGCTCTTTTCCTGTTCTTCCGATTGTACATCTAAACCAATAATTTTATCATATTTTATGACGTATGGTCTATCGATATTGATCTTCGCACTCTCGAGAAGTTCTGTCGCGTCTCTAAGATTTCCGCGAGAATAAGGGGAATAAGGGTTAATTATTTTGCAATTTCCTCCCCATGTACTTATTATTATTATTCGCTCCCCGATGTTTGGGCCGATAAAATATATCATAGAATCCGGTTCTTCCACTAGATGATAAATGATAAATGTATCAGTTACGTATATGTTAATCAAATTTAAGATTAATAATAAATAATATTCACCTCGACTCAATCTCATCCCAAGTTCCATTGAATAGATAAATGATATTTCCGATTCCTGGATCACCAGCAACGTGGCATTGCTATTTTGTACAATTCTACAGCGTTTAGGAGTTTCTAACATGTATTGTTGTTCGAGGATTAATTCCTTTAAACTCCATTGCGTCAAAATCAAAGTGCTGTCAATGGTCAAAAATAATTTTCCGTTAAAATCTATGTAACTCCATGCAAAATATTGCAATTCAATCACTCTTTTGCAATTCCATTTATCGGTGTCAATGTTGTCGTTGGAAAATATATAAGCACGGTATACAGGTTTTCCTTTAACAACTACGAAATCATCATTTTCAACGAAGTTCCAACTGTCCATCTCTCCCTCAAAATCTGGTGCATTCAACTTATTTTGTTTTTTCGTCTTCAAATTATAAACATCTGAAATATTTTAAAATAAGATATTAAGCACTTTTTGTATACACTGTAACTTATGCAAAAATTCTTAAATTATTAACCTACCAATGTTATATTTGTTATTTTTATGTGGATTTTTCAGATGCAATACAAGATGTTTGCTATCAGATATAGCTAAACGGGGATATGAAAATTCGTCGGCTTCTTTCGGATAAAGTTTGTAGTTGAGTCGGAAATCTTCATATTCTTTATCGACTTTTAACTTCTCTTCTCCCTCAATTATGCTCCATAACGATAACTTTATATAATCCTCCGTTTCTATCCACGTAGCTATAACCTTCATTCTCGGAGAAACAATGATGCCGGACTCAATCTCATCATCCGGTCCAAATTCAATCGTGACCCGACTAAGCTTCTGCTCGAGGGTTTCATTATTCTTTCTCTTTTCGCTCATTATATTGAGGATTGTTTGGAAAGAACTCGGAATTCATATTTTTCTTTCTTTCCTTTTTTTTTTTTTATTATCATTTTCCCCATGAAAAAAATGCGGCTTACGTAAATAAAGTGGCATGCTCTGAGCAAAATATTTATAAATAAGCCTCGCGCAAGAGTTTCTATGATAAAAGATCGTCAAAATTTCTGGCAATGCATAAATAATGTTTACAAGAAATTCTGTAATTAGAAAAAGGCTTTGGATTTTAAATTAACCTGAGCACGTCCAAGCGGCTGGAAATATTGTAAAGTCAAATATTAAGCAATAAAAGCTTTCAAAAACGATATTCTTTCGAGAAATTATTTTTACTTTAACTAATCGTCTAGCAGTATGAAACATAAAATATATAAAGGATGTTATACTTTAAATAGAAGACATTTATTACAATCGTTAAGAAAATAGAAGAATAACCTTTACACGGGAATGACATTGAAAAATTTTTATAACAGAGAATTTCAAAAGCGATGTCGACCGTATAATAATAATTCCATTATTAAAATAAAGTCAACGTTTTAAAGTTCCTTGATAGAATTTATTTAGCTTTTTATTAAGATAAAAAATTTTGATTTATCTAGCGAAATTTTAATAAATTAATAATTTATTTACTTTGAAGTAATCCACAGCCAGGTCAAATTTTCATTTATTAATCTTTTGAAAACAAAATACATCATACTTAGGCAAGCATATACAGTATACTGTATATACTGGGTTAAACTAAACATTAAAATGCAGTATATAACTAACCTATATTAAGCAAAGGCCTCTAAGTTTGATCTTGAGAGCAATATGTTACTTCAAAATGGATTTAGATAAAAAAATTAAAAAGAAAAGGAAAAAAAATTAATTTAAAAGATTTGAATTTTTTTAGAAAATTTGATTATTATTATTATTTTTTTTTGCTATTATTGTTTTTTTTTTAAAAAAAAAAATTTGCAATCATGCATCAATGACATGTCTTTATTGAAATATTGAAAGATATCACAATGTTTACAAACTTTCACATAGCAACTAACTTGTCATTGTACATTATTAGTTGAAAGATTATATTATTTAAAAAATATAAAAAGTTCATTAAACTAGTTTAAACTAAATAAAATTAAATCTAAACTAAGTACTTTAAGTCAGATTTAGAGGACAACATTATACTCTTCCAGTAGATTGGTTAAGACCTCTAACTACTGAAAACATTGTCAACAGTTTGTCATTATCAATTATCCTGAAAAATAATGAATTTTTAAAGTATAGTACTAGAAAAAGAGGAAAAAGAAATACAATTCAAAGCTCTTTAAAAGGTTCTTGCTCCATTTCACAGTTTCTTCTCAAAAGAGTTGTTTATTTAGAAAATCCTTTAAGCTTTATGACATTTAAGAAACTTAATCATTTCTGAAAGTGATTTCAAGAAAAACATTTGGGAAACTTATCTTTTTACTGATATATGGATTCACTTAACATTATTGGAGCCAGTATCATATTACAAAAAAGTTTGTCTAATTGGGATAAAAAAATCATTTCAAAAATTTTGCCTAATCAGAATAGAAGCTTGGAAATTTTATCTTTTATTAAAAAAAATCTTTTCATTATTTAAGGAATTTAATAAAAAAATAAAAATTTGATTTTTTTTTCTACCTATTACTCATCTTTTAGTATCATAATTGTTTCTTGAAGGTTGAACATATACAATTTAAAAAAATATTTTTTTTTAAACTTTCTTTTTTATATTATCAATAATGTGTTAAGACACATGAGTATAACTAATAGAAACTTGTTTATATTTTAAAAATAATGTGTTTCATGTTAGTTAATTATTTTTGGTAAGGATTTATGCTACTTAAAATTCAA